GCGCCGCACACCCAGAGCGCGGGCGGCCAATCTGCGGTGCTCCCGGGGCTGGCGCTCACTGTGCACCATGCGCCCGGGGCCAGCTCCGGCACCGCGCATGCCCCATGTGCCCGGGGCCAGGCCAGCCCTGAGCACTTGGTGGGCACACACAAATGCCCCCCGTGTTGGGGACCACTGGTCTAGATCTACAAAAGCGACAAGGAGTCCTGTGGCACCGTATAGACTAACAGATGTATTGCCACATACGCTTTCGTGATGCATCTGACGAAGTGGGTCTTTGCCCACGAAAACGTGTGAGCCAATACATCTGTTAGTCCATAAGGTGCCACAGGACTCCTTGTTGCTCAAACCTCTTGGTGCTCCCCATTCTGGAATCTTCCTCAAGTGATTCCACGGGGGGGAGGTAGGGTGTGCAGCTGCTATTGAATAAGTAGGATTCCCCCCCCTCCAGATCCACAGATTCCCTCGATCTGTCAGAGGCACGTGAGCATGCCTAGAACACTGCCCCCTGCAGGCTCTCTGGCCTCTTCTCCATTCCCTGCCAAGGATGGCGTGAGAGAGCCCTGCTCCCATGACTTCCCTCTCTGGCTAATGCTCCCAGCCATTATCTATGGAACGGGGGCAAGGAAGGGTGAATGCAGCCACGCCTGCTTGGTTCTGGATGGTTTTCCTGGCGGCGTACACCTGGGGATGATGCACGCATCTCTCCCCAAGTGCAGCTTCTTGGGCTGCCGGATGGAGAGGCCTACAGCGCCTTCTGCGTAAACCCAGAATCACCTCCCGAGCAGAGCGGGGCAAACTCTCCTCGGTAGCAGCCCAACGAGGGCCTGAGTGAGTTTGCTTGGCTATGAGAATTGCCAAAGCTTCTGATGCTTTTCTGTTCTGAAATGTGCGCTGCCCGTGAAGGGGCACTGGGTCCCATGGGACGTCAGGGCCGTTGCTCCCTTTAATGAGAGGTGTGCTCAAAGCACAGGCACCCTTGGGTCCCAGTCCTGACACCAGCTCAATTCCCAGTGTCGCCTAGAGACCGTCTCAGCTGCCAAACCCTGTCTTGACCTCCAGTGCATTACTGACAACGTAGATGAATTTTACATCAAACTAATATTAACATCAGATGATTTTTCTCTGTGACTTTTTTTAACTCTCTCATCTGGGGCGATTAAAATCACGGATGTCATTTTACCTTCCAGTTGTTCAGCTCTGCAGTGTTCGAATTGCAAACACAGTGGGAGGAGGGAAGGGGCCTGGAAAAAACAACCATTTCTACTAGCATGTAAGCAAAATCATTCTCTTGGTCTCAGGCTATGTAAACACTTGTCTTCATTCTAAGTGTTAGGCCAGGTATGAGCTGACAGTGCCCTTTTCAAATCGCTGTACCTCAGTTTCCCCATCTGTAAAATGGAGTTAACTTCCTACCTCACAGGGTTGTTGTGAGGACTAACGCTTGTTCAGTGCTTGGTAGATGAAAAGTGTTATTGTCTGGCGTCTATGGAGTATGCTTATGAACACTAACTTTCAAATATGTCTAATGGGCTTTTCCATGTGTAATGGGAATTGCTCCATGTGGGTTCTTTTCAAATAGCCGGGCTCTCTTGTCCCACCAGTTGCCATCCAGACTTCACAGTGCCTGTGAATGGAGCGTTCACTAAGTGGCCAACTGTGCAGAGATGAATACAGGGTGTTCAGCAATTGGAGCATTAGCTTAATAATTCGGGTTGGGATCAGACTGTAACTGACAATGTCTCTGTCAAAATAAACTGAGTCTTTTGTTCAACCAAACACCTCTGTCCATAATCCATCTGACTTTGATTCCAGAAAACCAGGCACCTGATGCTGCCCTCAAATGGCTGTAAAATCAGGGAAGGTTGCAATGGCGCCATACAGGATTAAAAGTAGTGTGAGACTACTACACGTCTGCACTAGAAACGCTACAGCGCAACAGCTGCAGCCATGGAGACACACTACAGTCGCGGGAGGGGGTCCCTCTTTTGCTCAGAGAAACCCACCTCTCTGAAAGTCGGACACTTGGTCGATGGAATTCTTCCATCACCTAGTGGTGTCTGTGCTGGGGCTTACGTGGGCTTCATTCCATCGCACAAGGCGTGACACTTTTCACAGCCCTGGGCAATGTAGTGAAGCTGTCCTAATTTTGTGGTGTCAACCAACCCCACCAGCCAGGGAATTGCGACCTTACCGTTAGCAAATTACACATACTGGAGCACAGATTCCACTACAAACTTTGTGCAAGCAGGTATCGTGAGCCAAATGCTGCTGCCAAGCACTCCAGCCTAAACACAGAATGCTTTGTGCTCTCTGAGATTTGTTACAGCTCTTGCTGAAAATGCTTCCAACAAAGGCATGGGATGTTGAAACTTAAGGTCAAGTTCTGCCCTCGTGAAGGATGTTGTAAAGCAGGAATAACTGACTCCAAGAGTTACTCTCCTGACTTACTCCCAGTTCCTTGTCTATGCTAACTCCTACCGTTGATCATGACATCAGCTATGCAAATATCGCAGCTGAAATCTACGTATTTACTCCAGTATCTCGTATGCAGTAAAGTTGGCAAGGGCTGCTCTCCCCTCAATGCCGGCTATTCTTCTTATCACGATGGAGTACCGTGGTCAACAGGAGAGCGCTCAGAGATCGATTTGTTGTGTCTTTGCAGACATGATAAATTGATGGTGAGTGAACTGATTGCTCCAATGTTGATCTCTAGCATAGTGAGAGCCAGACTGAGCACTCAGTACAACTCCTGCATTTGTCTCCGTACTGCGGAGTGGGAGTGAGTCTGCTGCACCAGGCTCTGGGGAGCATGCCACAGCCCTGCAACCCTCGCTCTGGTCTGCATTAGCATCCTGTACAGCAGGACATGTGCAAGGTGTGGGCAAGAGCTGAGTTCAGAGGATCTATGTATCAGTCATCCTCTCTCCTCCTCCTCCTCCTCCTCCTCTTCCACTTAAAACATATGGGTGATTCTGTATCCTATGGGAGAATTTTTCCTAAAGTACATCTTCATGGCCAGGCTGGTCAGAATTTGGTGCTTCATATCAATGTAGAGCCTGATTCAACTCTACAAAGCAAATAAAAAGAAGGTGGAGGGGGCATTGTGTGTTTTCAATACAGGTTGAACCTCTGTAGTCCGGCACTCTCTGATACAGCAATGTTCGTGGTCCGGCACCATTTTAGTTAGCCAGATGTCCACTTATCATGGGTGTGGCCACGTTTCCCGTGGTCCAGTTGTGACGTAGTGGGGGGAGGGCTGTCTGCTCTGTAACCCGGGGTCCCCCTGCACTGTGAGGTGCGATTCCCACTGACTCACCCACGTGTGGATTGGCCCACACACCTAGTCCCAACCTAAGCAGATAACAAGGCTCTTCCCAGAGGGAGAGACAAAGGAAGGGAGGCGGAGACGAACACCTGACTGGGGGCAGGATCTGGGAGGGAGGCAGTTTCTGGCTGGAATCATGAAGGAGACAGACCAAGGAGGGGGGCTGGGAGTCTAAGGGCTGAGGCATCCCAGCTCAAGAGGTCTGAGGCCTCCTGGCCCAGACCCCTGTAGCCCCGTCCCGTCTGTGCTGTGCTGTATCCTGGAAAAGCAATAAACCCCCTCTATTCTACTGGCTGGAGGAGTCCGTTCTTGCTGCTACGGGGCTGCATGATTAGGGGGAACCCCGACTCGGCATCACACCCGTAAAGTTTGTCTACAGCCACCAGTCCTGGCACTGCTGTTATTTAGCTCTGATTTTCCCCTCAATGTCTTCTAAGAGCCGAGTGAGCAGTGGAAGTGTTGGTAAAGCCGCTCGACAATATTGATATTGTGGGCTGGCAAATTGTCTGGTTTGGCACTAGTCAAGTCCCAAGGGTGTGGGACTAGAAAGGTTCATTCTATCCCAATAAGTCTCTCTCCCGGGAAAGCTAGAACATAAGGACTGCTTGTCATTTGCTGCAGCTAGTAAAAACTTAAGGCTCCTTCTGGGCGAGAGAGCTGCAAGGTGTAACACTGAGCAACTCTGGCAAAGGCTCCTTTGTGAAAAGGGCCAGTTTGAAGCAAAAGAGACATTTAATAAAAAGCAGTTTTCTCTGTGTCCTTCTCCCCTCACTTAACTGCTCTTGTAACACTGTTCAAAATGAATATGCCATTTTACACAGGTCGGTCTCCATTTCCCATTGCATGGGGGCGGGGTAAGTCTCTTCCTGCAGTTGGCTTCCCGTCCTGCTTTGCCCAAGGCAGGCAGTTGCCTAACAAGGACACGCTCTCTTGTGCCAGGTTCTTTCTTTGCTGCAACCAAACACACGCGACCTCCTTGCATTTTTAAATAGTCGCAGTGCAGGGACCAGTTTGGGTGGGTTTCTACTCTTGAAAAGCAGGAAACGTTGGCCATTTCCTAGAGGTTGGAGATGGTGTTTCCAGCCCTTTGTTAGCCTGTGCTATGGCCCAGCGGTGTGTCACTTAAAACAATGCCCAGCTACAGTGAGGATTTGTCTTGCAGCCCACTGCAAGTTTTACAGGTGAGAGAGCCAGGCACCAATCAGATGTCCCTGATTGTTTTGCATCATGTGTGCTTTGCCTTTACCGAGACTGGGGTTGCAATTTAATGACAAGTATTAAAAAAAATACTCCATCCAAATACAATTTGAAATTGGCTGTCTCTTGAGAATCATGTTACCTTTTGAATTTTGGCCCCTTTTCAAAGACAGATGGGGACTTAAG